TTCTTTTCTCACTTTTAAAAGGAATCTACAACACATGTGCTATACACACACAAGTAAACAGACAAGCAAGCGTAGCACGCATACTCTTTGCAGGATTTTTTGGAATCTTTTCTACATCTATAAACAAAATTCTTTTAGACGCACAAATAAAAGAATATAACACAAAAATAGCAACACGACAAAATACATACGACGAAGAACATAACAATGTAGACATAACGCCAACGGCACCACAATTACCACCCCTACCAAATAACCATCCACTATCCCTAGTCCCACGAAATTTTCGAAATTTAGCCATCACACATAATCCAAATTTTCGACTCACCACATCACAAAGTCCCATCCAACATATAATGACACACCAGTCACAAGATGATAATACTTATGAACAAATTATTGAACAACCCCATACCACCGCTTTTCAGTCTCAAAATAATCATTTTTTTAGCCCACGATGAGCCGCCAACTTGGATCACTACACCGATCACATTCCCACCCAACCAATCTTACCTCTCCAATCCCAATAATACCACTTTTTGCTTTTCCGCCACCCGATTTTCCATCTAGTAATGTAACATCAGGCATGAATTCCGACACTAATTCACACATCTCAGTTTTATATTCCATCTCACAACTAAATAACCCGAATATTGAAACCCCCGATGAATTTGCCGACTCAGAACCATCCCCATCAAATCATTTTCATAATTCTTCTAAATTTTCTCAACCCCCTTTTCAACCCATATTATCCAATAACCCTGACCCAATCACCCCTACACCCTCTTATGCTTCCCAAGTTACCCCAACCTACTCCTCATACCATTCTGACCAATCATCTCATTCTCCAGACACCCCCCGAATCTCCCCAGAGCTAGATAATTTTATTACCCTTCAACAACAACCCTACCACCTCCATACCCCAACAATAAACCAAATCTCCTCCACAATCAATTCATCCAACCCCCCTACCCCTACACCCTCTTCAAATTATACTGAATCATTAGCACCATCATCCACATCAACTGAATCTTCACTTAACACTAATAGAGCTTACCGCACTTTTAAAAGAAAGTTCCCCAACCATCCTTTCCCAGCAAAACCAGGAACAGCCCGTGAATACATCAACCACCCCAAGCATACTAACACAAAAGAATTTTTAGCCATCACCTTACCCTCATTCCCACAATACACCTTAAACACCCCCCACGACACTAACGAAACACGCAACTTTGTAGATGAATACGTTTTAATGCCCACTCTCTCTTGGACCTCATATTATCATTTTACTAACCCTCTTTGCTTACCTTTATCTAACACTCACATCGATATAGAGCGAAATACGGACATGCTATATCGACTCACTACACCACTAACCGCTAGACAATTTACTTACGTTGGATATAAAAAATCACTAAAAACACACACTGCACCTAGAGCTAACGAATATACACTCGAATACTATGATCACAACATCATCAGAGCTAACCAAGATCAATTCTTAGACGACGATCGCTTCGCTAATCCACAAATTACCGAGAAATTTTTCATCAAGACACCATATATATTTACACTAAACATCTTCGACCGAAAGTTTGATCACATTATTTCAGAAGCACTAACAGACACACAAGCATACGAAAGTTTTAAAGAACGCTTCCAAATATTTTCACTAACCTTTCATTTCCTTGCACCACACGAAAGAGATTTACACTGCTCACACGATATTATGTTGCGCACTAAACAAACCCACACATATAGTTATTATCGCTTCATCCAAAATCACTTTGACCTACACACACCCTCTAGACAACCACACCATCGCTTTCAATTCATTAATTCCAAATACACTTCACCATTTTTCCTAAATTTCACATATTGCATTAAAGATACTAACCTTCATGGTATTCTTCGCAATTATGATCCCATAACCCAAATGTACATCTTCTGTCCCATCACCAAGACCTTCAACGCCGAAGAATCCCGACCCTTCCTCATCCCACACGAGTTTGTACAACCTATAGAAATCCCCATTTTAGAATTCATCCATAACACTAAATTCAACCACAAATTATATAATTTAATCCAAAACACACCTTATGAATTTGCAGTTGGCACTGAAGAACTAACCACCATTAAGGCACTTCAATTGCTTTGGCCACTGCTTCAAACTAAAAATATCATCCGCATCTTAGCCAAAATACTAACAACTTCAGATCTCATCCACGACATCTTCCCCCACGGTTTCTTCCCCGACGACTAACAGGTAAGTATGAATTAAATGAATATTACTAACTAATTAAATATTAAAAAACTCACCATACTTTATCCATGTCTTCCTTAGATTTTTAGCCTTCATCCGACGATCACCTACAAAAACCACAAAAAACAAATAAAGATCGCAAATTTCATCAAACAGATTTCAACAATTCTATTAATCTCTTACACTTATAAATTTATAAATTTAATACCAATGCAGTAAATTCATTTCTAAAATTTTCCCCACCAGCAGTAAATCTAATTATGATGAAAATTTGTAGCTTAAAATTCCCCCATAACTAGCAATAAATTTCCAAATTCTATGCAGTAAATTAATAAAATGCAAATGCAGTACTAACCTTTTGATATTTTCATTCACTCGCACAAGAATTCTATCCAAACTCGCACAGCTCGCCCACGAAGAATTGTTTAAAATAATGAATTTCAGTTTCAAGCTTTCACACTCGATAACTCTAATACAAGATAACACGTTTCAAACTTTCCTTTAACCCGGTTGGAAAGGAATTATATACTAAACAAAACTAACCAATGCAGCTTACTAAACACCACAACACATAGCATAACAGCATGACTAAGAAAAGGAAACCAACGGTACCCAAACCGGATTAACCCAGTTTAAAACTGGATAATTTATTCTTTTGAAGACTATTATAAAGTCTAAGAAAGAAATAATAAAACACAAAAAAGTCGAAAGACAAACCCATACCACGAACAATTTGCTTTTTGGAAAAAGGACATAACCAACAAGACATAAGAAAAACCACAACAAACCCAACATAAAACGTTGTCACATAACAGGACCCCTCACAAAAACCGCATGAAATCATACTCCCACTCCTGGCCTAACCCACCAGGAAGGACGTCCTGAGCATGCTCTATAGCCGGCCTAACCCACCGCGCTACATCCACGCTTTGTGACCACACCTCTATTTTTAATAAGAGCTACTCAAGTGTGAGTAACTCTTCAAAATAACCGAACTAAAACAAAAAGCTTTTGTGAAAACAACTAACTAAAATCATAATTAAAAAATATTAAACTAATAAATGTTTTAAAAAATGTAAATTACATTATGCAATACATAGATCAGAATACAACACCAAGGACGAACATCTAAAGACAAAACGACCCCACTACACTCGAGAGAGAATGACCAACCACAATCGATATGCCACTCACAATCACAACTCAAAGGATTTAGAGTACGACTTGACTTCGCAGAAAAGGACTTCATTGAACTAGACCAATGACCACCTCGATGTTCAAGTATACGTACAGATCCGAGTAACCAGGCATCCCCTCCACGCAGAACAGAAAAACCTGACATAGCAAACCATTCTGAAATCAGATTTGAGTTTGTTGCAAAGACTTAGTCGTTGTCACTAGAAGACACAACGTCTTATGTCTCTAACTCCAGCTTCCTGGAACTTCTTTAACAAAAAGGAAACAGAAGAAATATGATGTTCGCCAAACACCAACGTCCATCATCCATCCTTCGAATTGCAGAAGAACCATTCTAAAAAACTCTGTAAAACCCGGATGGGTGGAACCTGATCTAGACTACATTTTATGATTGGATAATTTAGATATTTTACCAATGTAAAGTATTTAATATTAACCAATCATGATCCATCTAACTAACAACCCACTTATTTGTAAGTGCTGAAGTTACTTGTAATTTCAGCACCAGAGAGATTTGAATTTAACTTAGAAATTAGTTGGACTCTCCCTAGCACTTCAGCAGCCGCAATAAACCAGTATACCCTAGATCTATTGAGCCTAGCAGAGACTAGTTAAACAACCTGAGACTAGATAGTATAAGAGTAAGATTAGGATCGGTATTAGACTAAGAAGTTGCACGAATCTATCCGGCCGAAAATAAGATAGCGTGACGAGCAGACGGTGTACCCTATCCGAAATTACTCTATGAGTTAACCAACTCGGTCCTAACTCACAATTAACGCGCGATATATTTCGCGCTATTAACGCGTAAGCGGAGAGTTAATCCGTCTTAGAAATCGTTCCAAATTGGTTAAAAGAAGCTTATTTGCCATAATTGGTTTGTTACAAGGAGCGAAATCTATCTCTTTGTACTTTAAATGGCGTGTGGGGGGATGATTTTCACAAAAAATTTCACATTTTAGAAGAAAAAAAAATTTTTTCTTTTGTTTCATTTCATCAATTTTTAAATGTTATTACTGCTCCATAAACCTTAAAAGGCAGTCGGAACATTCAGGGCTTCGCCCTAATACGAGCAGTCTTGTATCAATTTAGCTGATTTTTTCTCACACAAGAACGTTTGATTTGGCAAAAAAATTAAATTAACACAAAACAATTTATATGGTAGTATCTTTGATGTCAATATAAAAAAAAATTACAATGAAAGATTTTTGATCTATTAGATGAACGTGAAAACCAGAAAAAAGTAATCAAAAAATAATTGAGAATTAAAAGTAGCAAAAATTAGCAAACAGTTTACTTATTTAAAAAATACTAATTTCTGTTCTCGAAAACTGGAATAAAAACAAAGAAATACTTTAAGATATATGTTTTTGTATTAAAAGACAGATTTTACTTGCGCGTACAGATAAAGATGTTTATTAGGCGAACAGCAATTGAAGATGATCGATTTATTGGTTAATTTTGAGATACGTTTTTCATTTAGATTAAACTACCGCAAAGTGTAAGCTGTTAGTTGAACAATTATTCAGATTTCACCTACTTGTGCAGACATAGAGTGTTGTTGCATCTGAGGACACTTGTATACCACAACCTTCCACAGATGTCACCACAGTTCGTAATTTAATGCTGTATTGTGTTCCCGGCTCTAGTCCAGACAACTGTGAAAACAAAGTAAGGTCGCACCAGATAAGTTCAAGTGCGGGGTGGCTTAAATCTTGCAACTACGTCTTGCAAAAAAAAACATTTCAACTACGTCATATAACTTCTATGTAATTCATAAAACGTTTTTTAAATTATATTTGCAACAGTAAAAGTAAAATTTTGATATCCAAAATGACAAAATATTTTTAAGACTTAGCGCTCGCTTTTCCCGCTCCAATTTACACTCGTTTTACACCTTCAAAGTTCGAGTACTTTTTGGTGAAAAAAGAGCCATTTTTATCCGATCCAACAAGAACTGAGGTGTGGCTATTTGCCCTTACTTGAAACCGAGTGTTTTTTTTGTAATTTTTAATTAAATTTCTTTTGGATCTGCCAATTCGAAATTACTGAACTCGTTCAAATTCCCAGAACAATCCCGGGTTGACCAAAACTTCTAATCATACAATTTCCATTTATGAGAAACTTCTTGTCATACAATTCCATCAATGCCATACGTAGAGAACATTGTATGAAATCTCTATGATAAAGATTTTTCCATAAATGAATATTGTATGAAAGGTGTTTTTTATCAGTTTTTTATCACCAGACTGTTTTATAAGAATCAAACATCCACAGAAATAAGTTTATACCAGTTTTCAACCATTTTTAGAAATTGTATGAAAATTGTATGACAAGCATTTTTCCATACACTTGATGTATGGAATTGTATGATAACCATTTTCGGTGTATGGAGGTCAACCCGGGATCATATCAGGCACAAAATATTGCCCTAATGCCTCTAAAGCGTTTCATTGATGCGCTGGAGGCGCTTTTAGGATTAGTCAGCCAGAAATGGATTTCAAAAAATGTTAAATTAATGGGAATTTGGGTAAATACGACAAATCCCCTCAGCAGACTCTATTGTTCTATTTAAAATTACTTCTAAATCAGCATTTTTGTCGGCTTGGAATGTGTCATCCCTATAATCTTTATTGTTCAAGTAGCTTATTCTGTATGCGTCAAGGGGTCCGGTGATTGCTTGGACAGTGGATGCTGTTCCCTTGATAGTCAAACTCGTCAAATTGCTGTCGACTTGAAATGTAGACTTCTTGGGTGCTGCAGGTTCTGAAAGTATTGCAAAAAAGTTGTAGAAGAGTCTCTCATGACAGAAGGATCGCATACCCCAAAAAGTTTATCAGTCAGTCAGAGTTCACTATTCACAGAGGCAAAGCGGAGCTTCGCGCCACTTGTGAATCGCAGTATAAGCAAAATAAAATAAAGTTTGAAAAAAAAGGGAAAACTTTAAGATTTTCCAATTTATAAATAAACTTCAAACTCAATAAGAATAATCGCAATCAATGTGTTCTCTGAAATCATTTCAGACCATATAAGCCAACTTAAATAGAAAATCAAATGTAAAGTAACGGTAAAAAAGAGGAAACGTTTGAAAAAAAACGGGCAAAAAGTTCATGTAGATCACTTAACCACGGTATGAAATAATGAAACAAATTAAGCACTGAAGCAATTTGGCGACGAAAAATAGCTAAAAGTTTTTCCTCAATTTAGGATTTTTTACTAGGTACTTTTTGTAGTCTATGGAGAAAATGTTTGTCTTAGAGTTTGTATATATAAGGAAGTTCTATGAAAAGCATTTTCCAAAAACTTAATGTATGGAACTGTATGGTAAACATTCTTTTGTGTATGAAATTGTATAACAAAAGTTTCTTCTGTATGAAAATAGATGGCCTTTTTTGTCTGGAGATTAACCTACCATGTTTTTGGTTTTGAAATTTTTCTTGGCAAAAATTGAGTTTACGTCCAAGGTGGCTCACTCTTAGAGTAATATCAGTTAAGGTACACCGTCTATTCGTCACGCTTTTTATTTTTGGCGAATGGATTCGTGCAACTTCTTTGTCTAAAACCGATCTTAATCATACTCTTATATCTCCTAGTCTCAAAAGATCTTATGTATTCTGGTATTTGCGAGTTAGATATCTGGAACTGTTCTGAAAGAAAACAACTTTTATTTAAACAAATTGTTCTGTTCCTGGAACTATGAATAGTTTCAACGTTACAAATAATTGTTAGTGTTAGTTATAGATCATGATTGGTTAGTATGAAATATTTTATAGATATAGTTTTATCAATAAAATATTTGGTTATAAATTTTAGTTTTAATTTGCTTCCCCGCATCCGGGGTTTAGAAAGTTTTTAGTCTTTAATGGTTCTTTTTTTATTGAACGATAGTAAAAGACATTTTTTTTTTATTCTTGGAGTTGTTCTATTTTGAAGGAAGAGGGAGACAGTTGTTCGTATTTCTGAGTAGTTGTCTTCTTAGAGAGAAGGGTGACAGTTTCTTGTGTTCCAGAAATGGGTCTCGTGTACCGTAGACCGTTTTGGGTGATCGTGTCAAGATTTCAGATTGTTGCATTCATGTGTTGATTTCGTTAAGCTAGAGCAATTCTACGTGCAACGTGGAGTTTGACTTCTCTGTGTGAAGTATCAAGTGACAAGGATCTGTATGTGAAGTCAATATCGAGTTGACCGTTGATGTTCTTCAATAGGTACCTCTGCTGCGATGTAAGGTCCATACTTTAAATCATGTGAGGGTTGTGACTACGGTAACAAACCAAAAGAGTTACCATTCCAAAGTCGGAATGCCGTCGAGTTTTCATTTCCCTTTGCTGCTCGTTCTTTTTGCTCAAAAAAATCTTTTTACCCTCATACTATATTTATATCTTGTTAGTGAGATCAGTTATAGTTATGATACTTAATACTTGTTTTCGCAAAAGCGTAATTCTTTAATTTAGATTACGTTGAAGAGTTGCTCACTCTGGAGCTACTCTTAGCAAAAATTGTGGTTCTGGGATGTAGCACATGGTAGACGCATGTACTTCGAGCGACGTCGCTCTGGTGGGTTAGGCCAGAAGGGAATAATTATTACAGTCTCTTTGAGCAGAGTCTCTTATCGTTTTTTGTTCTTTTTTTTTTCAGATGTTTTTCTCTTTTTTGTCTTTGGCTGTGTCCTTTTATGAAAAATAAAAACAAATTGTCGTCGTTTGGGTTTTTCTTTTGATATTTTTGTCTTTTAAGAGTGGTTTCAATAAACCTTTAAAGTGGTTGTCAAAAGAATAATTTATACAGTGTGAAGTTTAAGAGTTATATGCGAAGTTAAAGAGTTATGATGGTGTGTATTTCGAATTACCGAACATAAAGCGATGATGTGCGTTACGGTATGGTGAGTTGATTATATAAGGTTTTGGTATACATTTATAATAGGTGTACCTATGGCTTAGTTTTGTCTTTAGCATGATTTCGTTTGAACAGTAAATGTTTCTTTCCTTTCGTGTAAGGAAGATAAAAGTTAGTGCGAAAGGGTTAAAATTATTGAGAAATGGCTCGTGGAATATATTTTCTGATTGATGGAAAATTTTTCAGTAAGTTGACGATCAATGTTAGGATCGTCGTCGTGGGGGGAGTCATCCGTATATCTGGTGACAGCGTGATCGCAATGGTTAATAGAAAATCGATTGGCTATGAATCTGTTTAGTGTTTGGTTTAAACCTATGGTGGTGAATTGATTTTCTTGAAGTGCGATGGTGTGTTGGTGAATGATGGAGTCACAAAATTCGTTATCAGCGGCGTTGTTTTTCAAGGGAAATTTTTGTGGGTTACTATTTTTTCATATATAGATATATATATATTTTCATATATTTAAAATATAGACTGTGTGAATCTGATAGTGTTGTAGGTTTTGTATTCGTAATATTTGGTGGGGTATCGTATCTTTTGGGTTTTGTAGATGGTTTTTTTTTTATCTGCGCTAGCTTGAGCGTCAAGGAGGATTTCATAATAGAGGTGGAAAAAGTTACGAAAAATCCTGCAAACAAAAATGAGTGCTACGCTTGCTGGTCTATTGACTTGTGTATGTACTGCGCATGTATCATAGACTCCTTTAGTAGTGAAAACTGAAATCCATGAAAAAACATAGCGTATAATTTAGTCAATCTTTTTAATATATAGTAAAGCCATCCTAGAAAAGCTAAGAGTTCGTTTTTGATAATTACAAAACTAAAAAACACTAATTGGTGTAATATCTTGTGGACGGTATTTTTCTCCGTTAAGATATATATTGTTTTGAATGTCTTCGAAGTCTCCACTATAGTCTTGTTTGTAGATATCTGAGAAGCCTGATGTTTCAGCTACTTTCCGTAAGTTTTGATCGATGATTGTCACTGTATTGCATTCAAAGAAATTCTTGAAATTTTTATGATCTATTGTGATGTTGGATATCGGATTAAGATTAAATATCTATTGATGGTAGTTCTATGATTGGGTTACGAGTAATTGCGCGTATGCTCTCGGGTAAACATTTCTTTAAGGCTGACATTAAAGTAGGGTATGGATTGAGAAGATTTTCGTTTGGGTTAAGCTTTACTACATTGTGGCGATGTTCAGATCCACAAGGGACAGCTGTATCCCAAAAGTAGGCTCATCATGGTAGTGTATCCACACAATGTATTTTATTTTTATACATAGGCATTCGTTGGTAAAAAATTTTTTAGATTCAAAAACATAGAGTGATGAAACTTTTTTAGTGCAGGTGTAATACCAAAGAATGTTTCCTTCATAGTCATTGGAATTAGAGCGGTAGCTGTTAATAAAAAACCTGCGAAGGGTATTTTAAGTACTGCTAAAGCGAGAGTTAGTTGCAGTGTTTGTCTTCTTTCTATTCACAAAAATGATGAGGTGTTTCTAATTTGGAGTGACATTTCTTCGAAAATTCTACTTATTGTTTAATCTAGTTTCGTATCAAGATGAATATCATAGTCGATCGCATCAAAGTAACTGTTATTCGTAGTGAAACTTCTTGTAAACCTGTACTGTCTTTGTTTTCTGGATGAATTTTGCCGCCAGTGTTACCGGTATCTTTGTAAAACTTTTCTGGTATACAAGACTTTCGTCTTCTCTATTTTGATATAGGTGGGTCATATCAAGAAAAAATTTGCCTGTTTTGATATCGAAACCTTTTCGTATTTGACAAGAATTTCTGAATATTTTGTTCGAAGAAGTGTTTTGGGATGTTTGTATGCTACTTCCGTTGCAGGGTAAACTTGAAAAACCGTTAATTTATTTCTTTTGTTTTATTTCGTTTACACTTGATCTGATTCGACCATGATTATTTTTATCAAAACGTAGACATCCTAAAAAATAATTTCTGTGAAGTTTTATCATTCTTGCATGAATTTTAGCGACTTGAAAAGTGGTGCTTGTGTCTTCGGGGAACCATACTAAGGTCGTCTGTGTTCGGTTAGTGGAATCGCAATATTCTTGACCGTTTTTACAAGGTAAGTGGATTCCTTGATACCATAAGGTGCCATTTTTTAAACCTCGTGTTAATTCTCTTTTTTAGTTGAACTTTTGTGAATCGAAAAACATCAACTACTGGTAGCTTGAATGTTGGTCGGCTTTACACTTTGATGGGTATTTGATTCCGATGTGTTTTATCCAAGTTTTATTGTGTAAATCATAAGTTAAAATCCGTGTGCACCGTGATACGGGATTTTATTGTCTAGTTGTACATGGCGTTTGTGTTGTTTAAGCTGTGCTTGTTATGTAGATTCTGGAAAACCTTGAGAATTTAATAATTTACGCTTCTTATTATTTGTAGCGATTAGTTCGTTTTTATAGTTTTTGAGGTTAAGATAAAAAAGTCATTTGATATTATTTTGGTAAAAGATTTCGCAGTCAACTTTGTTTTTATTACGATTTCAAACTTGTGAATAAAGTACTTTCTTTTCTGAGAATTTGGCTGCAAGTTTATATCCTGTTAAAGTTCAAGCTCGGGCTGTTGAGTAGAGTGTTGCTACTATCGTTGTTGACTCATTATCTTGTGGTTCAGGTTCTTCATTGTGTTACCTGATTAATCGCATATTTATATATTTGCTTTTTGTTGATTATTTTCACAATCGTATTTTAAGACAAAGAGCTCTTGTGGACCTGTTCGGGAGAAGAGTTTTGGTGAGTTACGCGTTCGGGATGTACCAGAAATTAAAGGTTTTTTTGTAGAAAAAGCCATTAGAAGATACATGTGTCAGATAGTGCTGAAAAAGGATTATAGAAAC